TACTCTGTGTGGATGGATGGATGGATGGATGGATGGATGGATGGATGAATGGATGGATGGATGGATGATGGATGGATGGATTGATAGATGCTTTGTGAACCTAAAAACACGCTATTTATAAGACATTTATCATTTTCATTATCATTATTTATATTCTCATTCTTAATATTCTTAATACCATCCCTTTACTTTCAGTCCAAGGAAAGGCAAAAATGCACAATTTCTATTTAAAATGCCTAATAATTATTCAAACTTTTAAATTAAGTTGATCATCGATAGTCGATTAACTGTGAAAACAATCAGATTTCTATCCTGCTCAAGAGGAAGGACGGTCAAAAGGGGAAATCGTGCTTTATTGAAAGCATTTTCCAGCTAAAACCAAAGCGACCCCACATAAAACTGGCATTTTTTTTTGCCTTTTTTAGCTTTACCTTGTAGATGATTCCGGCCACCAGCGTGTACTGGCTCATGGCTGAGTTGTGGTACAGGTAGCAGGAGCCCTGCTCGCCGCACTGGTCCTGCCACAGCAGGCAGGAGATGTCGATCACTGAGCCGAACGCTATGGGTCCCGGGATCCCGCCTGGGGGGACACCAGGGGACAAAGACACATGGTTTTGGGTGCTCTGAGGTTAGAAGTAGGGTTGTCAAAAGTGTCGATACTAAAACGATTCGCCCCTTCTCTCTGATTTATTTATTTATTTACATTGTTTATCATCATCAATGTGATGTTAGCCTTGAATTGCTAGCTAAAGCTAATGGCTAATAATAACATGCCAACATTAATCAAGTCTGCAGGAAGCCAAAGATGGATATCCAACTCCCCCACATCCAAGTCGGCCATTTTAATTAGGTCACCAACAGGAAGATCCCAGGCAAGAAAATCCTAATTGCTTCATGGCAATATAGACATTAATTTAAAAATAGTTAAATGAATCTTGCAAACACTGAATTAAACTCTATCCATAATATTATGTTAAAATAGTGGATGTTAAATAGGTTTGTACAATAAGTCCAAACAAGTTTAACCAAAAAATATTTATTTCTCACAATTATGAAGGATGGAGGGTTAGGGTTAGGGTCAGAGTTAGGGTTAGGGTCTTGGTTAGTGTTTCGAGTTAGGGTTAGGGTAAGGGTCATTGTTAGTGTTAGTGTTAAAATCAGGGTCAGGATTAGGGTTAGAGTCAGGGTTAGGGTTAGGGTTAGGGTCAAGGATAGGGTTAGGGTCAGGGTCAGTTTCAGGGTTAGGGTCAGGGTCAGGATTAGGTTAGGGTTAAGTTCAGGGTTAGGGTCAGGGTTAGGGTTAGGGTCATTAATGTGGGCCACCATAACATCAGTAACAGGTCAGTTAGAAACCAAACTCACTAACCTGTCAAAAAATCAGTTACATTTTGGGGTCTTTCTTTTTATCGTTGTGGTATTGAAAATGGTATCGAGTATTTTCCTGAGTATCTGTATCCAGTTGAACATTTTAGTATCTTGACAACCCCGAGTTAGAAGCGGACTTAAAGAAAGAACGCTGACTTAAAGAAAGAACGCGGAGTATCGAGTTTCAAATATTTTCCTGT